TGACGTAAAAACCCTGGAGGCAGCATATGAGGAGCTGGGTGGGACGGTGAGCCCTGGGGGAGCCTGAGAGCAGCAGCAGGGCCCTCCTTTGCCTGCGGCCTGGGAGGATATTACAAAGGAAAAGGCAGTTACATTCACACGAAGAAGGTGCCAAGGACCTGAAGTTAGACCCTGAATTCTGGAAGGTCCCAGACCCAGACTGTCACATTTACCTTCCTATCCTAGGGATGGTGCCAGCACAGGGCTGAGTAGACACTTCATAAATACATATCGATGTTGGGCAAGTCTTATCTGCTTCACTCTCTGGCCCGGGGGTGGTGGCGTCTGACCACAGGCACTGGAATGGAAGGCGTCCCCAGTGTTGAGGTTCTTCTATGGCCAATAATCTAGAGCAACTGCAGCACCCATCAAAATCACCCAATGGGACCCAAAGCATTCAGGCACCGAAATGACAGGAAATAAAGAGATTCTTCTTCCCACACGCAAGACACACTTGGGTGGTGCTTTAGGCTGATAAAGATTCATAAAGAAAACAAAAGTGATAAAACGTGCTTTCCAATTTAACGGAACTGCGGACTTGCAGAAGCATGCACGATTCCGCAGGACGCCTCAGGGAGTAGACACAGGTTTTGAGGAGACTTTAGGAGAACAGGAATTTTTTGAAGCAATTTTCAGACGGGAGGAGAAAACATTTGAGCACCCTGAGCTGTCTCAAGGTCATTTCAGGTCCAGACTCAAGATCTGGGAAGAACTTGTAAAGTGCCCACTCACCAAAAGGAGGGTTGGCGCAGGTGAGGTTGAAGCCTGGCAAGAGGGTCCCAAAGAGTCTGGGACGTGTCTGCTCCCTTCTCTTAGCCATAGTAACATGAATGGATTTCGAGAGAAACACCCAGGTTTCGGTGTGTCTGATGGGAAAGGAGATTATGTATCTTTTCGGTAGAAGTCACACCTGTTTTGGGAGTTGGGTTGACCTCAACGTCCTGGCTCACGTGGTCCGCTGCTTCCTCGGCATGAGTGGCAGTGCTCTGGTGTTGCTCTCTCTAAAATCTTTCCAGCTTTATTCAGAGCTGAAGGAGATCACCCCCGGGAACCCATCAGCAAGGACCCGCTGTTGTTCTACCGTGCAATGCTCTAAGATCCATCTGGAAGTATTCACTGAGATTATAGGTCAGTTCAATTTACTTAAAGTAATAATAATAATTTATGAAATTCTTTCATCAGCTCAACAATAGTTATTGAGTACCCTGTATGTTCCTGGGCTCTGGGGATGCCACAGTGAGCCACAGAGACAAAAACTCTGCCTCACGGAGCTTCTCATCTTGGACAGAGATGTCAAGACTGAGAACGCTGCTGAAACAGCGAGCAAGCTGCTACGCAACCTCGGTTTAATATTCCAAGTGAAATTTTGGTTTATTTAGTCAATAGTCCCTAAACCTGGATTATATGTCGTCTTGGTGGTGAATAAATTAAAATATTTTTTGTTACACAATTATCTTTCTCAATCAGCATTTTCATATGCTAACACCCGTGATGAATGTATACACCAAACTCAAATAAACGGACATTCAGTTTTAGGGACTGAGGCAGAAACAGAATACTACTTCATACGTTTGCTAAACCGCTCTTCCTTTGCTATAGACAGCCACTATTTCTTTCCTTAGCCAGAATATTTGCTTTTCCTTACAGTCCTCCTCGGGTCTCCTCAGCAACAAGATGACAAGCTCCCCAGTTATCATGAGGAAAATGAAAACGCTCTTTAAAAAGGATTGGAAAAAAAGTCTAGTCATTTTCCAGATTGATTTATCGTTTAACAGCAAAGTTTTGCCATAATGGTACTAACTTGTCACAGCTTGAGAGAAAATAAAAAAGACAATTATTTTACTAGTTGCAATCACAAAACGCTAAATTATAAAATGTCGGGGGAAAAATTCAGGCAATTTAAACTTCCTGGAAATGGGTCTATTACTTATTTGAGGACTCAGAGTATTCTGAGCTGCAGACAAATGCATTTTGGGGAGGAAAAAATTACACTTTGAGTTTCACTGCCTGATTTTAGTGCTCCATTACATTGTTACACTTTTAGAAAGAATAGTTGTTTTTGATCTTCGTACAGTGTAATTGCTCTAAGGAACCCTATTGGTGAGCTCTTCGAATTTTTCTCTTTTTAACTTCAAAGGCTTTAGTGAATTTTTCTGCCCGGGAGAAATTCCATCAGTCTTTTTATTCTCTACCATCCTAGTTGTCATTTATCCAGTTTTTAATTTTTGAAAATTTATTAATGTTTTTATTAAGGTATAATTGACCTGATATTATATTAGCTTCAGGTATACAATGTAATGATTTGATATTTGTATCACCACGTGGTCACGAAATCGCCAAATAAGTCCAGGTAACATCTGTCATCGTACATAGTTACACAATTTTTAATTTTTTTCTTGTGATGGGACCTTTCAAGCTCAGCCACTTTCTATCTATAGCTTTTTAAAGACTTCCAGGAAGAGTTGTATTTTTACTGCCGAGTCCTGGAGGCTGAAAATGCTATAGAGATATTTTTTATAATACCTAATCTGAAATTCAAAAAATACTTTAAGCATTAAGCATTTATTTTCCAAGCACTCTTTAAATACATAAAGAAGATTTGCTTTTGCACGGACTATTTAAGAACTGCAAATTCAGGGCATACAGCAGTCGGAGCAGTATTCTAAACTAAGAGAGAGATGCTAAAGAAATAAGACAATACTTGTTTTCAGAGACGAAAGAAAAAAAAGCTTACAGATGAGACGCTCACCTATGTGAGAGGAGGTAGACAGCCTTGAGGTGAGAGATTGGGCCCTGAAGCTGGACTGACAAGATTCACATCCCGGTTCTAACATTCTTACTGTGTAACCTCAGGCAAGTAACTTAACTTTTCTCTGCCTCAGTTTCATCATCGGTAAAATAGGACAATAATAAAAACCTATCTCATTGCGCTGTGCTGAGGGTCAAATGAATTAACATACATGTAGAGATTTAGAACATCTTCCAGAACAGAGTAAGCTCTCTGAGATAGTTCTTGTCCTGGGCCTGGTTTTTCAAACTGAATTACTCCTTTAATCTAGAGATCTACCATCCAGTTGGAGAGGCCAACCATTTAAAAGAGAAGAACTAGAAAGATTTCAAAACCTGGAGCAAATTAATAGGTACTAAGAAGATGAGGCATCAAGATGTTACCAAAGAAAGTGGGCTCCAGTTCCAGAAGATGGTCAGGAACAGGTGAACTGAGTTTCTTCTGAAAGGATAAGTGAAGTGGGGGAAAAGCCAGTGTTTGGGTAGGTAGACGAGGAGAGAAACGACGGCAAAGACAAAGGCTCTTAGAGTTTTTAGAACTAGAAGGCCCTTAATCCATTCAAGAAGAGGCAAAATAGCTAAACAGAGAGACCATGAGCCTTCTGGCTAAAATGCTGAAGCTAGTTGCAGACAAGGCCAGTGGGCAAATCTAACACTGACTTCCAGCCGGCTGTTCGTTTGCTAGCCCAAAATGAGGCAGAAGCAGGTCATGGGGTCGTTCCGGTGGTCTTTTCCCCAATGTTGAATTGTTTTTAATTTTTTTTTTAAAAAGGGCTCATATAAAAACAACTAAGGAAAAAAACTCCCAAACAAAACAACCCTACACACTTAGTGGCGATTCTCTACCTGGGACACACACAGATGTGCTTTAGTTTCTCCATTTTCCCACAAGGATGGCAGGATTTCCCTGGCTTTAATTGGAATCGCTGCATGTTTTCACTGAGGTCAAGCCCACTTCCTATATTCTTTTACTCCTGTAATTTGATAATCTATGTTTTTCACCCTGAAATCTTAATAACAGTCTTTCTGCATCTTCATATATTATTCTACTTCCTCCAAACAGACTGAGGGGAAAGTAAAAAATGCTTTTGCAGTTGGTGGACTTATTATTTATTCTTGCCAATTATTAGAACAACTGTAATCTGCATCTCTAAAATCCAAAAGTTGTTGATTGATGGACTTTTGAAAAGAGCAGCCAGGAAGGTCAAGGCATTTTAAAACCTCGTGGTATGTCTTCAAAAGTTTGGGTTTTGAGATTTATGAAAACTAGGTTAACGGTATTTTTAAAAGAAGCATAGCTTTGCTCTAGAAATGTTTTTGGCTTTCTAATAGCTTCTTGGTTCATTTTCTCAGTGTTTACTAGGATAGATTCAACAGTTTCTAATACTCTCTTTTCTGAACTTGCTGAGAAACAGGGAGAAAGACTCAAGTGTCCCCACTGGACAAGGTCCTTCTAGAGGCGGGACTGTTTCAGTATAACCACGTTCCCTCTCTCTTTCTTGAGGCAGGAGCTCCAAAACCTTCCTCGTAGCAGCTCTCTCAATAATCCTACTCAGCACAGACTTGTCCCAAACCTACTTTTTATGAAAACTTGGCCATCTTTCAAGATCAAAAGGTGATAGAATTCCCCCACTCTTTCAAACCATTTGTTTCCATTTTATTTTTGTGAACCCGCCATTTGAATTTCCGCTATTTTGAAAAGCTGGACTGGACAGCAGAGGTCAGAGGTGCCCTAATTTCCAAACTGCTAGAAGCAGTCACTTGGGAACCTAAAATCAGATGGGCGAAATGGAGAAGTGAGTCTAAAATGCGTTGCCAGGTAGCAGGTTTATATGTCACCTGCTGTGAAGGCTGGCGTCTCCAGGGTGTTATCTAGGCCGGGTGATCAAGGGCTGGGGGGTGGTGCTCTTGTATGGGAGACTGGAGTGGGACCGCCCAGGTTCAAATCCCAGCTCTGCCATGTTCTGAGCGTCTGTGTAGCAGCCCCCTCGAGGACAACCTCTTACTATTGCTCTCTCTCTCAAGTTTCTGGGCGCTGGCTGGGCTCAGCTAGGTTTTCTCTCTAGGACTCTGATGCAGCGTGGTCAGTCAGTGACAGGGGCTGGAGTCACCTCAAAGGCTCACTGACTCACAGGTGTGGCGGCTCACATACTGGTTGTACGCTAGGTCCTCACCTGGCACCATCAGCCGCACATGGCCTTCCAGGTGGCACGAGCTTCCTCACAGCAGGGCAGCTGGATTCCAAGGGCGAGTGTCCCAAGAGACAGCCAGGTGGAAACTGTAGCTCCTTTGATGAGCGGGGCTCAGGAGTCTCGGAGCACCACTTCTGCTGCATTCTATTGACTAGAATCCAGTCACTAAGTCCAGCCCATATTCAAGAAGTGGGCAATTAGACTCCACTCCTTAAGGGCAGGGGTGTCAAAGAATCTGTGGGCATGACTTCAAAACAGCATAGCCATTGATTATCTGGAAGATCTCTCTGTTCTTGGCTTTCCTGGTCTGTAAAACAAAGATGAGGGTAACTCCCCTCCTAGGTTTTGGGGAAGATTAAACAAGAACAGTACCTGGTACTCAGTATGTCTTAGCTTAGACCATTATCATGCCTTCTGCAAATCTGCATTGATGCTGATGGTGTCATCAATGATGGTACATTTCCCAGCAGATACAATCTGAGGGAACTGCCACCTTTCCGAACTCTACTGGTGGCATTTGACAAATCCCAGTGCCTGTGGTTCTTGTGTCTGTGGGGAGCAGAGTTACTATATATGGTCTGAATTCTTTGGTTCACCTCATTTTAGTGACAGTTTCCAGATATAGGTCAGTCCGTGTAAACCTGGCCCCATTTATGGCAATTTATTTCATTATAGGATAAAGCAGTTAGAACCATGAGTAATAATTACTGTGTCTACAGTGCTTTTAACACCTTAGCTAAGTAATCCTCACCTCACCCAGTGAGTAAGTTTGAGTGAGCACCCTTCCCTCCCCGGGGATGAGGAAACCAGGACTGGGTCAAGCGGCTTGTTCTGAATTCTACAAAGAGGCGGGGGCGCCTGGAGCGAGAAGCTAGAGGTGCTGCTTCTCTGGTTTCTCCAACGTGCCCAAGAATTTTAACACCCCATCGCTGCTCGTGTCACCCAGTGCCAGTCAATGCGCTATATTCAGATGTGCACAGGTATGTGCAATTTCTTTCAAACTGTCTTTTATTAACCTGTAACAGAGAACTGGCCAGTGTCTACTTAGCGTTATGTGAGAATGAGCGAGTTAATAGATGTCAAAACCTTGTAAAAGCACTTTGCCACTCAGTACACTTTCTTTGTCTTTTGGTCAAATTGATATTTTCTGATATTCTTGGGCATCGACACTTTTTTCTATCTAGAGGTGGAGAAAAATTGAGAACACTCCCACTTTTTGCTGGTATTTGCCCCCAGGCTGGCTTCGAGCTGTCACCCACCCCCGCCCGGTAATTATATTTCTCGTCTGATGTCAGAAAATGCGGGAGTGAAAAAGGTGGCAGGACCGCGCCTTCCGCGGGGCTGGGAGGGGACGGCCGCCTCTCCCGCCCCGTCGTCTCCGTCCCCGTCCCGTCGGGGCGCCCCGGTGCGGAGGCTGCGGCCCGCGCTCACCGGGGGGCGCTGTGCGGCCGGCCCGGGCCCGCCGGCGCGCCGCGGGGCGAATCCCAGGCGGCGAGGTCGCCGCCCCCGCCCCTCGGCCGGCCCCCGGCCTGCGGGCGGAGGGGAGTGGCCGCGCCCGCGCCGCCCCGAGCAGTGCGCACGCCGCGCCTCTGCAGCCCCGGCGCCGCGGAGCCCAGCGCGGGCGCACAGGGCCGGCCGCCGCCGCAGGAACCCCGCCGGCGCGAGGGAGGACGACGCGGCGCGGAGCGCGCCCGGCCAGGTAGCGCGGCGCCTTCCCTGTCCCCCGGCCCTGCGCGAGCGGCGCGAAGGCGGGCGCCCGCGCCTTTGTGCCCGGGTCCCGGTGGCCCGCCGCCCCCGCGCGGGGACAGGTCAGCGGGGGCTGCGGCTCCGTCCTCCGGGTGAGGCGGCGCTGCGGCCAGAACACGCGCACGCGGGAGGGCGCGCAGGGTGGTCGTGACGGCAGATGCTTCGGGGGCGAATGGGAGAGAAGAGGGCTCGTAAACTAAGTTGTTCTCACTTTGCCCCATCCCCCTCGTACCTGTGGGCAAAGTGGGATCCAGATCTTCCTCGTGTTCACTCACACCCCCTCCATCTCTCTGGCCCACAGCTGTTTCCTGGCCCCCTGGTTCTATGGAAGGACATGGGGTGGCCTCCTCCGGGAAGGAAAGCGGAGAGAGAACAATGGGGCGTCCTGGGGAGTGGGGTTCAGGTGCGGCGTGCCCCGGCGGCGGCGTGGGAGAAGGGACTCCGGACCCGATGGGGCTTCCTGCGCTGTCCTCCTTTGTTCCGCCGCAGCGGAGGGGGCTGCCCTGCGTCTCGTTTCCTGCCGGGGAAGGGATTGATTCACGGTCCCAGAGAGGGAAGGGGAGGGGGCGGGGCTGGAATGGAAACCAGATTAGGAACGCGAGTCAGGGCAGGGGAAGAGGGTTGGGGAGGGGGTGATGAGAGTGCATTGGGGAGTTGATTACAAACACAACGTTTTGTCCAAGGGCCGTGTGGGTTTCTGGAGCTTGTTTGTACTGCTTTGTTCAGGCTGCGGCCAAGCATTTATTGCTGCAACAAGTTGTGTACTTCCCTGAGTTGTAGGCGCTCCCAATGTTAGTTTGCTGAAATCAAATCTTGTTAGTTACAATGGGAGAAGAATTGTTTTTGGGCAATGAATCAGGATATTCATGTGTATGTGTGTGCCTGTGGATCTGTGTGTGTTGCTAGTGGGTATTGGCTGGAATGGGTAGGAGGCAAATTTTATAGAATCGATTTAGACACCAAATAGTTTTCTCCGTTGTAATGTAGTATAACCATTTTTCAGGAATGTTCAGGGGGAAACCACCAGAAAATTAGACATTGCTAAATAAATGAATCAGATTATGTAACACTGAATTGAAAAACCTTTTACGGTTCTTCCCGGAAAACACACCACACACACCAGCGTTTGGGTTTTGAGTTGAGAAGCCAAGGTTTCTGTGCTTTCGCTCCCCCAGTGTGGGTCATCTGGAATAAGAAACAGAATACTTAGCATTATGGTGAATGGGAATTATTTTGGGGAGGAGGTAGAATTAAATGTAATATGTTGGGCATTTGTTAAATGACCCTTTCCTAGATTGGAATCGAGAAACCGGAGAGGATTGGCTGACCTCGGGAGGGAGCCATGGGGAGTGGTATCGTGACTGTTTTTTGGATGGGGTATTTCAAGCAAAACTGTTTTGGGAGGAGGCTGACATTTCCAGGCATTCATGGTTTGTGCCTATGGGACCCTGGTGGAAGGATCCCAAACTCAGGCTGAAGGTTAGAATTACTGTGGTGATAATTTAGGAGACATTCAGTTATAGTAGTGTGGCTGCAGGCAGGGCTGGGGAATGACACAGTGCTGCCTCGTTGACAAGCCAGCGGGTCCACCGGTAAATACCCCTTTGGCCATGTGTTTTAGGATGAACCTAGTTTGAAAGCCTCGTAAGCTTAGAAGGCGAATTAGAAGCTTACTCTGGGGGAAAAAATGTTTTGTGCCCACTAAATGGTAATGGAAAAGAGCTGTATGAGCTACTGCTGAGGGTTTGTCTTTTTCGTGGGGGATGTGGTCAGATTTCAGGCCAGGCTGAAAAGCTGTGTCCTCAGGAGGCATTATGATGTGAAGTTGAAGTGGGATGTTGTCCAGCCATCAAGCTGTTTGTCATTATAACTAACATGCTGTCTGGCAAACCATGGTGCCATGGGCAGTGAACAGCGGGAGATTTCTTTGTTATCATTGTCTTGCCATTTTGGACTTTTCATTTATGTTGTGAATTGTTTTGTAAAATGTAGCACAATTGGATTCCTCCCAGTGCTTACTGGAATATACATTAACCAAATGCAAAGCATACAACTGTGTTACTGCTGCTGGAGACACGGATGCGGGATTCTCCTAAGTAGCTGGTCCCTGGTCGCTGGCTGTCCTGCTGGATGCCCTGTTGTGTGGTGAGGCTGGCTACAGGCTGCACCCCCTTCATGGGATGGGATGAATCATCACTTTGTCAAGCCTGGAGTTAGACTGACTCTCTCTGGTTGCTGCACAGTTATGCAAAGCAACAAGGAGCTTCTGACGTCAGTGGGGATGGGGTGGGGGTTGGGAGTGGTGTTTGGCTAAGAAGGGATCCTCACAGTGTAGGATCCATGTTTTTAGGATTTGTCCTCCTTTTGGGCAAGATTCTCCTCTTTGACTTCTCCCTTCTATTATCAATAGCTGGACATTTGAATTTTAATTAAGTAGCCTAACAATAGTTACAGCTGTCCTTTAGTAAGTGTTTACTTTGTACAAAGTGTTTTGCATACATTACTCCGTTAATCCTCACAGCAACTTGATAAAGTGGATATTATCTCCATTTTACAGTTGAAACTGAGGCCTAGGGAATTTAGTAACTTGCCTCTTGTACCCTATTGTGTGGGTAACTAGTAAGTGGCAGAGGTGAGATTCGAATTTGGGTCTCTGAGTCCAAGGTCCGCGCTCTTTTAAGTAGACATTGAATGGTATATTTCTTAATAGTAGGAATAACAACAATTTGATTAGCCCTTTGCAGATTTCAAATCACTTTTACATGTCTTATCTTAATTGATCCTTCCAAAACCCACTGCGAGATAGATTTGGAAGGCCAGATTAGTGCCATCACAGCTCTTCAAACTGTATTGTTAAAAAGCTTTTGGCTCTTTGACGGCCTGTGTGAATAAGCTTTAAGTGAATGAAACTTTATTTTTAAAAAGGTAGACTGCCAACACTTAAAAACAAGTTCTGTTTTGGAACCATTTAAAAGGAGTGGAATGGAATTGATCTAATATAGTAGTCAAGTGTTTTATATTTATTGAAATCCATTTGAGCTCGTTTTACCTGACAGTCTTTCTTAGAACACCCCACTTTGCTTCTTTCCTGAGACCCGCTGCCAAGTGTCTTTTTAGGAGAGAAGTCGGGGGGAAGGAATGTGATTATAAAGAGGAAGTGGGACATCAGAATTGGAAACATACGAGCAGCAGGCTGTAGATTTTCCCAGCACATGGTTTTTGTCCTGAGAGTCGCCTTTTACAGAAGACATTCTTCCTTAGGGAGGTGTCAGGGGTCTTTCTTTACAATATCCTCTGAGATCATCACATTTCTGAGCTCTGTGGGAACACACGTTCCACAAGATTTCTGTGTTCATCCTTTCCCCACTGGGGAAGTGAACTGGCTTAGACATCAATGTGGAAAGGGAATGGAAGTGGTGTCCGCCCTTGGGTGGAATGGAGAGTGTTGCTGGGCATGAGGCGCCTGACCTTGACCCAAGAGTGACCATCAAGAGCAGGGCAGAATGGTTTCTAACACCTGGCATCATCAGTTGTTTATGGATTTCTCAGAAAGCTTCCAGGCAAATGGAAAAGTCAATATTGGTTTTTTTGTTTTTAAGATAAGACTTTGAAAGTTCTACCTTTGCTTATTTAGTTATTTCAGGCTAGGACACCGTTTGGGGTCTTTGAGGTTGTGATGTAGGTGCGGTAACGTGTGTCTCCTCATACTATTAAAATCCTCCCCCCGCCCCAGCATGTTTAGAAGGGACGCAGATATGTGGTCTGCTGAGTTCTAACAGGGAGCACCTTCCAACTTGGCAGCCAAGAAGGATGAAGGATGCTCAGCAGCATTGCGCTGTTATAACCTTTCGTAGGTTTCTTTTCACTTGTCAGTACTTTCTTCATCACTTGGTATTTTATTAAGCACACAGTTGATGCAAGGCATGCATGAAAAATCAATAAAGGGAATCTCTTGTGCCTCAGAGGATGTAGTAAGGCAGATTGGTGTGCCCAGAGAGTAGATGTTGGTGAAATGAAGAAAATGACTGTGACAGCTGTGGTGACCAAGGCCACGCCAACACCTGCTGCCTAGACAAAAGCTGAAAACAAACAAAAGCAAGAGAGTGGGAGGAAGGCAAACACAGTGCCGGCTCCTTCCTTGCCCTTGGTTTTGTTTCCTCCAACCTCTGACGGGGTGGAAGGAAACGGAAAGGACTCTGGATGCCTGCCTCTGAAGGTTGAATTGGTTGGGGTGTTAGGAAGTGTCATCCTGGTAAATTGCTGCCTGAGGAGTGAGCAGAGGATCCTTTTTTGGACCCTGAGGATGTATAAAGTACCATTGCGTGGGAGAAGGTGTTGAATAACATGGGCGCCCCAGCATGTGGCAAGTCCTTGGTGTCCTCCACACCTGCCAGCATCCCATCCTTATCCTCTGTTTGTTGAGGCTGTCAATTCAACCCTGCTAAGGCTGTTCATAGACTTGAATGTTCGCATTGTGGACAAGAAATGCCAAGTCCCCAGAGAATGAATCATTCATATTTTATATGACATTCATGCTAGTCCATTAAGTATTGTCTGCTTGCCTTGTGTCAGGCTTCATCCTGGGTATTTTCCCATAACTTGTTACATTTAATCCTCATCGCTCTCCTCAGTAGGAGGTAGGAATGCCTGAGGGAACTGAGTGACTTGCCCATGGCAGAGGGGACCTAGCCCAAGACTGTACACTTTCCAGAACAATACACCGCCTCATGGTGCAGTGTTCTTTGAAGCTTTGGGCTGCTTTTGTGGAGTTTGTTTTAAGGAGTTAGAGGGAGCACCCACCCGACAGTCTCTGTCCCTCCTAGCTGGCTTCCTTTGTCACCTGCAGGCAGGGTTCCTGTGGGTGTCAGTGTCCTTGGCTAGTCCAGAGCTGGGAGAGATGGTTGAAATGCTTCTCAGTTTCTCCTCCTTTCTGGTTGTCGTGGTTAGCTCCCCGTCCTGCATCACTCTGCTCCCCCAAATGAAGGAGACTTGGTGAAACAAGATCCAGCCTGCGAGTGAGAGTTGGAGGAGCTGGTCCCTGCCTGGCCGTCTTACCCTCTGCCGGTCGTGTCCTTCTCTGCAGGAAGTCGATGGTCATCTGGGAGTGTTCAGGGGGTTCATCTGATTCTGTTCTCCAGGCTCTCTGAGCAGAGTTCGCTGCTGGGCATCCAGTCGGAGCTCAGGGTCTGCTGTATGTGAATGAAGTGGTGAGAGCACCATTGGAGAGCTGGGGCTTAGGGAGTAAGACTTCCGACAAGGCGGGGAAGAAAGGAGTTGGTATGGAATTTTGCTGTTTCAGGATAGGCGGTATTTGAAATTGGAGTCTGGAGAAAAGTGACAATTGACCTTCTTCCTTCGCTTATCAGATAAATAACTGCACTGAGCTTCTAAAAAGACCAGGTGCCTGGCTTTCCTTGGTAGAGGGCAGGAGACGGTTCCCTGCGCCCCGGGGACTCTCCCAGCCTTCCTGCGTGGACTCAAGACGCTTTGAAATTGCGCAGATGGCTTCATTTTGCTGTGTTAAAATGAAAATACAATTCAGAATCGTACAAGTTTTTGAACTTGTTAAAAAAAATTCAACATCCGTAAAGAGATTTTAGAAAACTGAGTTGAAAGGACAGTGGAACAGATTATTAATTATTGGTTTTGTTGTAATATGTGTGCGCATCGTTTGCCTACTCATTTTCACTGGTTTCATGAAAGTACTTTTCACACACTTCAACCAGAAAAACCAAAACAAACCAAAAACCCCTTGACTGAAAAATCCCTGCTGGCCCCCTTGCATTTTCCAGTGTAGACCTGCCCTCTCCTCCCTTCGTGCTGCTTCCCTTTAAATTCTGTGTTATTAGACCCCAAAGGGCTATATGCAGTGATCAGATTGGGAATATGCTTGGTTCCTAGCTGATCATTTTTTCCCTTGAAAGTGCTTCAAAAGGATCATCACTATTTTATTCATTTTAGAGTCCCAGCCTAAATGCTTTTAGGAAAAGTTTAATTTTTATAAACATTGGGTTTAGGCCAATTCGCATGGCTAGTCCACCTGCAGTCTGCGTACAGTTGTAGTAAGTTGACCGCAGTTTTGATCTCCCCCTGATGTGAGCCATCGAGGAAAAAGTTCTTTCTCACTTGCCTGAAGTCTTCAGGGGGTTGAGAGGTATTCATAAGAATATACGAACTGCCTCATTGGATCAGATTCAGGAATCTGCTTTCTGCAGAAGCAGAATCCTGAGTATTCTGTGACACTAGGGGAGGGGGCCAGAGTTACATTTTATAACTTTCTATAGGTTTCAGGGATATCTCTTAAACATCCATAATTGATTAATCTCTTTAAAACCTCTCATCCATATATTTAAGTTCCTCTTGGATTGTTTATTTTTATCCTATATTCTATACGTTTCACACCTTCTTGAAAGGTAGAATTTGATTAAATTGGTATTTTGACTTCAAATGCCCAATTTTTGGAATGGTAGAGTGTTAAGGTTGAAGGAACCTTAAAGGTCACCGCTGTAACCCCCTCATTGTATCTGAGACCTGCTGGGGCTCATAGAGTTAACCGGGGACAGACTTGGGAACTTGACCCCAAGTCTTTTAACTTCGTGCTCGGTTTTCATTCTAGGGGAACATCTCACTGTCTCCCCAAACCCATCTAAATCCAGGCTTAGTGCCCATCACCTCCCAGTCCGTCCTTTTTGACTTCGCTGTGTATGCTAATAGCATTCCTGTCATCATCTTAACTTTGGATTTCGGAAGCATCGCCTGCTTCTCTATCTTCTGTGATCCTTACGTCCATTCCATCAGTTGCTGTGTTTGGTTGACTCTTGTCTCATCTATTTGCCTTTTATTTTCAAATCCTGAAGCCTCAGTTGTGGGTCACACCTTTAGAAGGCTGGGTTCCTAGAACGCAGCATTTCCCAAAGTGGGTTGTTCCATGACAAGTTAGTAGGTTGGGGAAAAAACCCATAAAGTGAGTTGATATTAGTGTAAAAAAGGGTTCCTTGGCTAAGTAGGTGTTGGTTAAACAACATTTAAAAAGGTTTCTTAGCAGACGGACTTTCACAGCCTTTTATTTGTGACTTTGCACTGTGAATCTCTAGGAGGGAGCTGTAGTATGCACATGTCCCAACTTATGTGACCATTGTGTCACTTTTTGGGGGCATCGTTACATAGATAACACTGCTGTAGTCACTTCGTTGTACCGTTTCTAGATCCATCGCTCTCTGGCTTTCTATGGGAATATGTATTCTGTGTGAGCCACACTTGGTTCGCCCTCAAATGTGTCTTACGCTTTTTTACCTCGTTGTTTTTCTTCACCGCAGCAGCCCTCTCGACCTGTCGCACCCACACATCTTTCACAACCCAGCTTTGTTCCCATCTTCTCTGTCAGTTTCCTCCAGACTCTTGCGCTTCTGAACTTACAGCATTTACTCTATCATAACTTAAAAAAAATATTTGAAACAGACAAAATATTGGAAGTCACATTGCACACACATAATAGTTAAATTATTGGAATTCACACAGAATGCCGTTCTCCATATTTGTGTCAGTTGATGCACCACACGCACGTCACGTTCTTCTCTCTCCCTCCACACGGGTTAACTGGCACGTGTTATTCCAGCATGTGGCTTATTTTGCTTTTAAATTTTGTGTTATTGGAATTACATTGCATCTATATAGAATTCAGGAAGTATTGACGTCTTTATGATTTCATGGCTCCCCATCTGCAACCTGATATAACTCTTTATTTATTTAGGTCTTTTATGTCCTTCAATGAAATTTTGTAATTTTCTGTGTAAAAGTCTTTCACATCTGTTAGATTTGTGCCGAGGTGCTTTATGGTTTTTGCGGTCATTGTGAATGGAATGGTTTAACACATTTTTGGCTGCTGTTGCTGGTGTCCAAGAATGGGATTGATTTTGTATTTGTGTATTGATGCTTCTTAATTGATCGAGTTCACATTTAAACTTGTGTTTGCCATGGAAACCTGAAGTCAGGCAGCTTTTCTAATAGAGCATGAAATAACAACCTGTCATGGAAATGTCACGATTCGCTTTACTTTTAAAATGATATATAATACTTTTAGAGTCAGGGGGTTGTGCATTCATTTATTCATTCATCAAACGTTTGGATGGCTAGTATGTGCCAGGCACTGTTCTAGGTACTGGGTCTTTAGTGGTGAACAGAGCAGATGTGGTTTCTGCTCTCATGGAGTATGAGGGGAGAGGGACTGCAGAAATGAATGCAGATACTTACGACATAGTGAATTGTGACAGACGCTGTGAAGGAAAAGGACAGGCGGCTGTGAGAGTGAGAAAGGTGGGGAGAGGAGAACTTATATTGGGGGTACAGCAAGGGCTTGTCTGAGGAAACATGTTCACACAGATGCCTGAAGGATGAGTTGGTGCTAGAGGAGCAGGATGGAAGAGCTGTCCAGACAGCGAGAAATGGGCTCAGAAGCCCTCAGGTGGGGCTCTGCTCTTAATGGTAGATGGATGGACATTTTAATAATCAATGACTTAAATCAAGTTATTACTTCTTAGTAAATCATCATCATAGTGGTATTTAATTGTGTTTAAATTATGATGACATGAAAATATTTATTTTTGGTTGGTGTGTTCCCCTTCCTCCTCATTTGAAACTGCCGGACTTAAGAGAGCTGCCTCTGTGATGGGGCTTGAATGGGGCTGTTGCCCATCCCCTAGTCCCAGCTCTGTCCACCCTGCTCTGAGTACCGGGATTGCCCCAGCACTGGCCGCTG